CCATGTCCCAAACATGTTGGGGGTTATGTACTGGTCAGCGAACCATGTCCCAAACATGTTGGGGGTTATGTACTGGTCAGCTAACCCTGTCCCAAACATGTTGGGGGTTATGAACTGATCAGCAAACCCTGTCCCAAACATGTTTGGGGATATGTACTGGTCTTCCTTCCTTTCAATATTTGAGAGTAGGCTCAAGGTCAATTATGTACATTTTCATAATTAAAATGTCTGTTTTAAATGATCCCACTTTTAAATGACTGTATCAGCCTGTCTCATGGATGTACGATTCAGGGATGAGCTGTTTGGGTGTGTTTTTAAATGAGTGTGTGTGTGTGTGAGCGAGAGAGATGGAGTGTGTGTGTGTTCTTAGTGACGGCGAGCTCTAATCCACCTTAAGGCCAGGGTCCAAAGAGTATATCCATCAGTGTAATGTCAATCCTCTCCTTCCCCTCTGTGGAGTGTCAGTCCTCTCCTTCCCCTCTGTGGAGTGTCAGTCCTCTCCTTCCCCTCTGTGGAGTGTCAGTCCTCTCCTTCCCCTCTGTGGAGTGTCAGTCCTCTCCTTCCCCTCTGTGGAGTGTCAGTCCTCTCCTTCCCCTCTATGGAGTGTCAGTCCTCCCCTTCCCCTCTGTGGAGTGACAGTCCTCTCCTTCCCCTCTGTGGAGTGTCAGTCCTCTCCTTCACCTCTGTGGAGTGTCAGTCCTCTCCTTCACCTCTGTGGAGTGTCAGTCCTCTCCTTCCCCTCTGTGGAGTGTCAGTCCTCTCCTTCCCCTCTGTGGAGTGTCAGTCCTCTCCTTCCCCTCTGTGGAGTGTCAGTCCTCTCCTTCCCCTCTGTGGAGTGTCAGTCCTCTCCTTCCCCTCTGTGGAGTGTCAGTCCTCTCCTTCCCCTCTGTGGAGTGTCAGTCCTCTCCTTCCCCTCTGTGGAGTTTCAGTTCGCTCCTTCCCCTCTGTGGAGTGTCAGTCCTCTCCTTCCCCTCTGTGGAGTGTCAGTCCTCTCCTTCCCCTCTGTGGAGTGTAGCCTGTGTGGGTGTGTAGTGTAATGATCAATCTTCACCCTTTAGCTTCTCCAGTCTAGTTTTGCAGGATGTACACAGTAGTCCACCATTCTCTACGAGCTTGATACATTTGAAATAATACAAAAAAGAAATACATTTTTGTTCTACAGCCATGTTGTTTTTATTGGCATGTTTCCGTATTATTTTACAATGATGCTCACAGTCTGGAAAGATATGTGTGAACAAAAAGAGTGTCAGGAAGCAGGGTATCCTCTCAGCTGGGAGTGTCCTACATAATGCTGGGCATGCTGTGGCGGACATGTTACTTACAGATTTTAGTCTTGCTCTAGAAGATGATTTATTCATAAGATTCTGAGTTCTATCTGCTGACAGACATGCATAACACACACATGGGCCATTGTACATCAATGGGAGTAGGACAGAGAGGTTGAGCCGGACATAACCAGAGGTTGATGGGCCAACCATGAATGGCTGCTACTGCATTGGAGCCCACCTGGGTATTGGAGCCCACCTGGGTATTGGAGCCCACCTGGGTATTGGAGCCCACCTGGGTTAAGTAATCAGACTGGTTGTTGTTGTTCTCTCCCTCTCCCACCTCCTTCCAGCCCCTCCCACCTCCTCCCACCTCATTCCAGACCCTCCCATTTCCTTCCAGCCCCTCCCATGTCCTCCCACCTCATTCCAGCCCCTCCCACCTCCTTCCAGCCCCTCCCACCTCCTCCCACCTCATTCCAGCCCCTTCCATTTCGATCCAGACCCTACCACCTCATTCCAGCCCTTTCCATTTAGTTCCAGCCCCTCCCACCTCCATCCAGCCCCTCCCAGCTCCTCCCATCTCCAGGCCTGTCTGAGGGGAGGGGGGGTTGGGGGTATTTACATACTCTCTTCCCCTGACAATGAGTTGATATGGTCCAGTTGGTTGGAGCATGGTGCTGCCAAATCCTAGGTGGGACACCTGGGCTCACGTACACAATGTGTATAGGGACTATAGATAAACTACCAATGGTGTACTGCTGCTCATCTTCGTCAATGATAATGCTAAATAACTTACATTGAGGGAATGGCTGAAAATGAGGTGCACCACTGGTCATGTTCCCAGTACAGTTGTGCATTGTCCAGGTGGCTATTTTTGAAAAGGGAGAGTCTGGGAGGAGAGTCTGGGAGGAGAGTCTGGGAGGAAGGTGACAATGTTTGGTGAGAAGGGAGTTCCGACTTGTATTGTTAGTTTTTCTCGCTTAGCATCATAACAACAGCAACAGAGGACCAGTGTCTGACATGGACATAACACTGACTCATTGAAGAAACCGCATGTAGTGACTCAGTGTGCGGCTCACGTAAAGCAATAGTAGCCGTCGTATCAGAGTAAGGATGTAAAAACAGTTGATATAATACATTTATACTGTTTATAAAAAAGAAACAAAAATGAGTAAGAAAGAAAAAGAGAGAAAAAGAGAGATCTTCACAGGTGCATTAGGAGGAGAGACAGAATGGGGGTAGAGGAACAACTTCAGGAGGAGAGAGAATGGGGGGTAGAGGAACAACTTCAGGAGGAGAGACAGAATGGGGGTAGAGGAACAACTTTAGGAGGAGAGAGAATGGAGGGTAGAGGAACAACTTTAGGAGGAGAGAGAATGGAGGGTAGAGGAACAACTTTAGGAGGAGAGACATAATGGAGGGTAGAGGAACAACTTTAGGAGGAGAGAGAATGGAGGGTAGAGGAACAACTTTAGGAGGAGAGACAGAATGGGGTAGAGGAACAACTTTAGGAGGAGAGAGAATGGGGGGTAGAGGAACAACTTTAGGAGGAGAGAGAATGGAGGGTAGAGGAACAACTTTAGGAGGAGAGAGAATGGAGGGTAGAGGAACAACTTTAGGAGGAGAGAGAATGGAGGGTAGAGGAACAACTTTAGGAGGAGAGACAGAATGGGGGTAGAGGAACAACTTTAGGAGGAGAGAGAATGGGGGTAGAGGAACAACTTTAGGAGGAGAGACAGAATGGGGGTAGAGGAACAACTTTAGGAGGAGACAGAATGGAGGGTAGAGGAACAACTTTAGGAGGAGAGAGAATGGAGGGTAGAGGACAACTTTAGGAGGAGAGACAGAATGGGGTAGAGGAACAACTTTAGGAGGAGACAGAATGGAGGGTAGAGGAACAACTTTAGGAGGAGAGAGAATGGGGGTAGAGGAACAACTTTAGGAGGAGAGAGAATGGAGGTAGAGGAACAACTTTAGGAGGAGAGAGAATGGGGTAGGGAACAACTTAGGAGGAGAGACAGAATGGGGGGTAGAGGAACAACTTTAGGAGGAGAGAGAATGGAGGGTAGAGGAACAACTTTAGGAGAGAGAGAATGGAGGGTAGAGGAACAACTTTAGGAGGAGAGACAGAATGGGGTAGGAACAACTTTAGGAGGAGAGAGAATGGGGGTAGAGGAACAACTTTAGGAGGAGAGACAGAATGGGGGTAGAGGAACAACTTTAGGAGGAGACAGAATGGAGGGTAGAGGAACAACTTAGGAGGAGAGAGAATGGAGGGTAAGGAACAACTTTAGGAGGAGAGAGAATGGGGGTAGAGGAACAACTTTAGGAGGGGAGAGAATGGGGGTAGAGGAACAACTTGAGGAGAGAGAGAATGGGGGGTAGGGAACAACTTAGGAGGATACAGAATGGAGGGTAGAGGAACAACTTTAGGAGGAGAGAGAATGGGAGGGTAGAGGAACAACTTTAGGAGGAGAGAGAATGGAGGGTAGAGGAACAACTTTAGGGAGGAGAGAGAATTGGGTAGAGGAACAACTTTAGGAGGAGAGACAGAATGGGGGTTAGAGGAACAACTTTAGGAGGAAGAGAATGGGGTAGAGGAACAACTTTAGGAGGAGAGACAGAATGGGGGCTAAGGAACAACTTTAGAGGAGAGAGAATGAGGGTAGAGGAACAACTTTAGGAGGATACAGAATGGAGGGGTAGAGGAACAAACTTTAGGAGGAGAGACAGAATGGAGGGTAGAGGAACAACTTTAGGAGGAGAGACAGAATGGGTGTAGAGGAACAACTTTAGGAGAAGAGAGAATGGGGGGTAGAGGAACAACTTTAGGAGGAGAGAGAATGGAGGGTAGAGGAACAACTTTAGGAGGAGAGAGAGAATGGAGGGTAGAGGAACAACTTCAGGAGGAGAGAGAATGGAGGGTAGAGGAACAACTTTAGGAGGAGAGAGAATGGAGGGTAGAGGAACAACTTTAGGAGGAGAGAGAATGGAGGGTAGAGGACGAGACGATTAACCATAACTATCATTTAAATAAAAGCCAAAGGCCGACGACACAGAACAACATTTACAACAGGAAGAAGAGGAGAAGGAGGAAGAGGAGGGGGGGGGGGGGGGGGGGGGGGGGGGGTCTGATATGTGCATGTGTGCAAACATACTGAGTAATGCTACATTCATAACCAAGTAGGAAGGTAGTAATTACCAAGTGAGAAGGTAGTAATTACCAAGTGGGAAGATGGTAATTACCAGTTGTGAAGTCGTAAATACTAGTTGGATGCACTCACATGCATTGACCACGTTGAGAAACGCAGATTGGCTAATGGCCAACAAGCTGCTTTAACCATAAACTAAAAGTACAGCCATCATGCTGGTAAACAAATGATTGTGTTCAAAAACCATATTAATATATAGCTTTTTATAAATAATGTTTTGTTACATTTAACTGCCGAAAATGCTGTTATCAAGGTAATTTCCTTTGTAGGTGGGGTCAGAGGTCACCATGTGGGAGTAGTGGGAGCTCAGGATGATAGACGTGTTTCCCAGTTGGAGAGGCGTTCAAGCGGATTTTTTCCTGTCGTATGTGGTAAATACCAACTTCCCACTTGGTTATGAACGCAGCAAAAGTACCATGATAAAAGCATGTTTGCACCGTCCCGTGACATGCTTGAGAGGGGTGCAGGGATGGTGATGGGGGTTTTGGGGTCGGGGGTTTAAAGCACTTGTCGCTGCAGCTTAGCCCAACATCTTTGTGGCACGCTGGTTGGCTTCATCAATCCTGGTCTTGTTGGAATCAGCCTGAGGTGAGAGAGAGAGAGAGTTGAGATGATATGAAATGAAATCATTCAAGCAATCAACTACCAATCAATAAATCAAGACTGTGGATTGTCAACTCAAGGATGGGCTGCCAATCGCTAACACTGAAAATGTATTGATTGATTGTCATCGTCAAAATAATGGATAGTACCTTGTCCATGATCCTGTCGATCTGGCGGTTCTGGGTGTCGATCTCGTTGCCCATGTCCAGGGCCATGTGACGCAAGTTACCGATGATCCCACCCACCTGCTCCAGGTTCTCATCCATCTCATTCTCCCGGGCGTCGTCTGTTACCCTGGAAACACACATCGGATATTCCATGAAACTAACGGTAGCCTTGGAGTGGCAGAGGGAGTCCACACATACACACACACACACACACACACACACACACACACACACACACTCTCTAACTAATACATGAACACACTCACCTGCGGATGAAGCCTCCACTGATGGCCATCTGTTCACGTTCGTCCACCACACGGGCCCCTGGCTGACTGTTCACCACTCCATCCTGGTTGGCCCCCCACGCCTGGCCCCCACCCTTTATCCTGCAGGGACACACGCCAGTCAGGGTGTGTAGAGGTGTGTGTGTGTGTTTGTGTGCATGTAAACTGTAATTTGATGTAATAGAAATATGACAAAAGCCATGCATAGTGACAGCAAGGCGGCCCACCAACAAAGCATGCCAATGATATCTTAGGGACATATATATATATATATATATATATACGTTATATATGTTAGGTCTATCAATGAACAACTGATCAATTCTAGTGTATTTACTGTGTCTATGTGTTCTTTATAGACTTGTAGCTAGAAGAGACATTAACCCTCCAACCAGCACAAACACATTAAACACACAGAACACCAAGCAGAAGACAACACAGACAGACAGGCAGGCAGGGGGGTTAGACACACAAGGAGGACACATTGTACACAGATACAGAACACACACAGGAGTAAGAACACACACAGACAGGTAGACAGGAAGACAGACAGGAGGACAGGAGGACAGACAGGAGGACAGACAGGAGGACAGGAGGACAGGAGGACAGACAGGAGGACAGACACACATCATATCCACACCATCTGATTACTGGAGGAACAGTTTAGATCACAAAGCATCAGAAATAAACCAGAGTGAGCATGATAGTTAATGATACTGAGTTACAGAATCACATGGAAATGGATAAATACATTCACATGATAAAAGTAAAGTGAAAAAAAAATGTGTTTACAGCTGCAGGGACTAAAAAGTGAGGTCATGCCGTGGTGCTAGCAGAATCACTGCTGCAATGTGTGTAACACTGTGCAAGTGATAATTAGTCAAAATAAAAATAAAATAAAAACTTGTACAGGGTTATAAAAATAAAGCTTTTTGGTGCCCGCAACTGTAAGTAGAGGAAAATACATAGACAACACTAATGAACATAATGCTATGGACATTATGTTATGGACATAATGATATGGACATAATGCCATGGACACAGAAAAGGCTTTGCCTCAGAACATGACTCTGAGGCCATAGTTTGGCTTTGCATTGGCTCCTTAGGGACTATCCCATCACACTCCATAACCATACACACACACACACACGCACGCACGCACACACACACACACATACACACGCACACACACACACACACACACGCACACACACACACACACACACACACACACACACACACGCAAATACGTGCAAACACGTGTACGTAATGTACACACACAAAAATGCACACACACACACACACACACACACACACACACACACACACACACACACACACACACACACACACACACACACACACACACACCTGACTTGTACTGTTGTGGCGGTAAGTCAAGTTCGGTTTAAAATCACTTGGACTTTATAGACGTTTATGATTGTCGCTCACTACAGCAGTTAAATGTGCATAAAACAATAGCTTTGAAATAAAATTATTCCTGTGATGGCAAATTGTCTTGAGAAGAAGTACACTATATATACGAAAGTATGTGGACACCCATTCAACTTCGTGGATTCAGCTATTTCAGGCACACCCGTTGCTGACAGGTGTATAAAATTGAACATCCATGCAATCTCCATAGACAAACATTTGCAGTAAAAAGGCCTTACTGAAGAGCTCAGTGACTTTCAACATGGCACCGTCATAGGATGCCACCTTTCCAACAAGTCAGTTCTTTACATTTCTGCCCTGCTAGAGCTGCCCCGGTCAACTGTAAGTGCTGTTATAGTGAAGTGGAAACGTCAAGGAGCAACAACGGCTCAGCCGCGAAGTGGTAGGCCACACAACCTCACCGAACGAGACCGCCGAGTGCTGAAACGCGTAGCTCGTAAAAGTCGTCTGTCTTCGGTGGCAACACTCACTACCGAGTTCCAAACTGCATCTGGAAGCAACGTCAGCATATTCGTCGGGAGCTTAATTAAATGGGTTTCCATGGCCGAGCAGCCGCACACAAGCCTAAGATCACCAGGCGCAATGCCAAGCTTCGGCTGGAGTGGTGTAAAGCTCACCGCCATTGGACTCTGGAGCAGTAGAAACACGTTCTCTGGAGTGATGAATCACGCTTCACCATCTGGCAGTCCGACGGATGAATCTGGGTTTGGGCGGATGCCAGAAGAATGCTACCTGCCCCAATGCATGGTGCCAACTGTAAACTTTGATGGAGGAGGAATAATGGTCTGGGGCTGTTTTTCATGGTTCGGACTAAGCCCCTTAGTTCCAGGGAAGGGAAACCTTAATGCTACAGCATACAATGACATGCTAGACGATTCTGTGCTTCCAACTTTGTGGCAACATTTTGGGGAAGGCCCTTTCCCGTTTTAGCATGACAATGCCCCCATGGACAAAGTGATGTCCATACAGAAATGGTTTGTCGCCTCCCGAGTGGCACAGCGGTCTAAGGCACTGTATCGCAGTGCTAGAGGCGTCACTACAGATCCGGGTTAGATCCCAGTCTGTGTCACAGCCGGCCGCGACCGGGAGACCCATGAGGCGGCGCACAATTGGCCCAGTGTCGTCCGGGTTAGGGGAGGGTTTGGCCAGCTGGGATGTCCTTGTCCCATTGCGCTCTAGCGACTCCCTGTGGCAGGCCGGGCGCATGCGCGCTGACTTCGGTCGCCAGCTGTACCGTGTTTCCTCCGACACATTGGTGTGGCTGGCTTCCGGGTTAAGCGAGCAGTTCGGCTTGGCAGGGTTGTGTTTCGGAGGACGCATGGCTCTCGACCTTTGCCTCTCCCGAGTCCATACGGGAGTTGCAACAATGGAACAAGACTGTAACTACCAATTGGGGAGAAAAGAAATACAAAATCAAATAAAAATATAAACAATGGTTTATCGAGATCGGTGTGGAAGAACTTGACTGGCCTGCCTAGAGCCGTGACCTCAACCCCATCAAACCCCTTTGGGATGAATTGGAACGCTGACTGCGAGCCAGGCCTAATCGCCCAACATCCGTGCCTGACCTCACTAATGCTCTTGTGGCTGAATGGAAGCAAGTCTAGTGGAAAGACTTCCCAGAAGAGTGGAGGCTGTTATAGCAGCAAAGGAGGGACCAACTCCATATTAATGACCATGATTTTGGAATGAGATGTTCGATGAGCAGGTGTCCACATACTTTTGGCCATGTAGTGTATGTGACTTCTAAACACTAGTGAGCTGCACAATCAAATTTCACGAAACATTGTGAACATTAACTCAACTTCCTGAAATGCTTCAGTTCCTCCTGTTTCAACACACATGAACCATACACAGCAACTTACTATCATCTCAGGGCCGAATTCTGAGTCGAGATTTGAACACTTAACTTGAGTGTGGGAAGAGATCTTTTCAATGCAAAGTTCAAGTTAGGTGCATAAATCTCAAAACACACATATAACCATTAGCTTCCCACTAAGCAGTTTGATTCAATACTACATCGAATATAAACGATCATCACTGTTCTTTTGGTAGGAATGATCCTTATCTATTTCATTGTGTTCCCTGTCCAAGGTTTTTATATGTCCACCAAGCAGCATGTAACACTATATGGTGAAACCAAGAGCAAGAGAGCATGTTCATGCATAGGACTGATGTACCAACAACAGCAGTAAATCATGTCATGCTAATGTAGGTTCATGTCAATGTAATGCCTACTGCCTCGTGTAAGAATATTATGGAACATGCGGCTGTATGTATGGGGGGAAAGTGTTACAGTGGATTAGCCCAGCATGCATCTCTCTCTCGCTCTCCTCTCTCTCTCTCGCTCTCTCTCTCCTCTCTCTCTCTCTCTCTCTCTCTCTCTCATCTCTCTCCATCTCTCTCTCTCTCCGCTCTCCTCCCTCTCTCTCAATCTCCTGCTCTCTCGTACTCTCTCTTCTCTCTCCGTCTCTCTCTCCTCTCTCTCTCTCTCTCTCTCTCAGGTCAAAGTGCACATGGAAGCAGCATGCACACTAGTTAAGGCATTCAAGCAGGTAGTCAGGCAGGCAGACAGGCAGGCAGGCAGGCAGGCAGGCAGGCAGGCAGGCAGGCAAGGCAGGCTGCACCTACTTGTCACAGGGACATGAGCAAAGACCACAGAGAGACCCTAGATTGTTCAAATTCTTTTCTGCATCCTTCATGTCCTTATTGATCTGGTCCATCCCCTCCTCGATCCGCTCCAGTTGCTCTGATTATCAACACAAGTCATTTATCCCCACAAAGAACGAGAGCACGTGGAAAGAAAGAAAGAAATAGGAGGAGGAGGAGGACAAAGGAGAGGAGACAAAAAGAGACATTGACTGTGACAAGAGAGACAGACGTTGGACAGCACTACCAACACCACAGAGGCTAGAGCCCTGACCCGTCGCCACCGGTTACCTACTTGGCAACACATGGACATAATTGGACACAGCATTGCCCTAAACCCTTCATATCTTTCTCGGCCTCCTTCAAGTCTTGGTTGACCTTGTTCATGCCATCTTCAAACCGATCCAGTTGTTCTGGTGAGGACAAAGGTAATGAGAGCAGTGAAATGAATCGGATTGGCTCTTGTGATGATTGAGCTCTAAGCTACAGCCTATCAAACACAGCCAGAATGCAATGCAAGAGGTAAGACCAATTGGAAAGATGCACCAGGGAAGCAGGGGTCATCACACTGAGCCTAGTATGTCCCTGGTGACATTATGGTGGGAAGCTTGTGGAAGGCTTGTGTATATACAGTTGAAGTCGGAAGTTTACATACACCTTGGCCAAATACATTTAAACTCAGTTTTTCACGATTCCTGACATTTAATCCTAGTCAAAATTCCCTGTCTTAGGTCAGTTAGGATCACCACTTTATTTTAAGAATGTGAAATGTCAGAATAATAGTAGAGAGAATGATTTATTTCAGCTTTTTAACATAGGTATATACTGTATTATCACATTAATAGACTCACCTGATTCTTTGTCAACAAAGACAGTGTACGTGTATTTGTATACGTATTTACTAGACAGGCACTTCCATCCAAACTTCCATCTATTTCGTTAACACATGGAATTATTCAGCTGATTAACAGCAGTGATTTGAACCACTAGCCCGTTCAATCATCAGCCTTCTTCCCTGACCTCTGGGCAGTGTTGGGGAAGCTACTCTGAAAATATAGTTACCAAGCTACCAATTACTTCACACTGGAAAAATTAAGCTACACTAAAGCTACCCTTACGAAACTTATAGTTTACTTAAATAAAGTAGTTCACTATCATACCTATATCTGAAATGTCATAGAGGCTACAAATTGCGCAGAGAGAGAGAGAGAGAGAGAGAGAGAGAGAGAGAGAGAGAGAGAGAGAGAGAGAGAGAAAGAGAGAGAAGAGAGAGAGAGAGAGAGAGAGAGAGAGAGAGAGAGAGAGAGAGAGAAGAGAGAGAGAGAGAGAGAGAGAGAGAATAGAGGAATAAAAGGCTAATATTCAATTAGCCTTTTAAAATGATAAACTTGGATTAGCAAACACAACGTGCTATTGGAACACAGGACTGATGGTTGCTCATAATGGGGCTCTGTTCACCTATGTAGATATTCCATTAAAAATCAGCCGTTTCCAGCTACAATAGCCATTTACAACATTAACAATGTCTACACTGTATTTCTGATCATTTTGATGTTATTTTAATGGACCAAAAAATTGCTTTTCTTTCGAAAACAAGGACATTTCTAAGTGACCCCAAACGTTTGAACGGTAGTGTAGGTAGGGGTAAAAGTGACTAGGCAATCAGGATAGATAATAAACAGAGTAGCAGCAGCGTATGTGAAGTGTGAAAAAGTGTGAAAGTGTGTCTATGTGTGTGCGTGTGTGTGTGCGTGTGTGTGTGTGGCGTCAATATGCATGTGTGTATGTGTTTTGTGTGTGTGTGAGCGTATGTAGTCGTATTTAGTCTAAGTGTGTGTGTGTGTGTGTGTGTGTGTGTGTGAGTGTGTGTGTAGAGTCCAGTAAATGTGCATAAAGCTGGTGCAAATAAAAAGGGGGTCAATGCAAAGAGGTGTTGTCGTGCCCTCTTCACGACTGTGTTGGTGTGTTTGGACCATGATAGGTCCTTAGCGATGTGGACATAGAGGAACTGTGCGTTCGACCCGCTCCACTACAGCCCAGTCGATGTGAATGGGGGCGTGCTCGGCATCTCCATTTCCTGTGGTCCACGATCAGCTCCTTTGTCTTGCTGACGTTGAGGGAGAGGTTGTTGTCACACTGCCAGGTCTCTGACCTCCTCCCTAAAGGCTGTCTCATCATCGGCGGTGATCAGGCATACCATTGTCGTGTCGTCTGCAAAATGAATGATGGTGTTGGAGTCGTGCAGTCATGGGTGAACAGGGAGTACAGGGGGGGACTGAGCACGCACCCCTGAGGGGCCCCCATGTTGAAAGTCAGCGTGGCAGATGTGTTGTTGCCTACCCTCACCACCTGGGGTCAGCCCGTCAGGAAGTCCAGGATCCAGTTGCAGAGGGAGGTGTTTAGTCCCAGGGTCCTTAACTTAGTGATGAGCTTGGAGGGCATGATGGTGTTGAACGCTGAGCTGTAGTCAATGAACAGCATTCTCACGTATGTGTCTTTTGTCCAGGTGGGAAAGGGCATTGTGGAGTGCAATAGAGATTGCGTCATCTGTGGATCTGTTGGGGCGGTATGGAAATTGGAGTGGGCCCAGGGTGTCTGGGATGATGGTGTTGATGTGAGCCATGACCACCCTTTCAAAGTCATTTAAACAGGCTACCTTGGATTTGTTGGGCACAGGGACTATGGTGGTTTGCTTGTAGGTATTATAGACTGGGTCAGGGAGAAGTTTGAAAATGTCAGTGAAGACACCTTCCAGCTGGTCAGCTCTAAGTAAGCGTCCTGGTAATCCGTCTGAACGTTAACCTGTTTAAAGGTCTTACTCACATCAACTACGGAGAGCATGGTTCAGTGTTGCTAGCCTCGAAGCGAGCATAGAAGGCATGGGTTTCCCTTTGTAATCCGTGATTTTTTGCAAGCACTGCCACATCCGACGAGCATCATAGTCGGTGTAGTAGGATTCGATCTTAGTTCTATATTGACAATTTACGTGTTTGATGGTTCGTCGATTAGTATCCCACTCCTTGAAAGCGGCAGCTCTAGCCTTTAGCTCAGTGCAGGTGTTGCCTGTAATCCATGGCTTCTGGTTGGGATATGTACGTACGGTGACTGTGGTTATGATGTTGTTGATGCACTTATTAATGAAGCAGGTGACTGATTTGGTAAACTGCTCAATACCATCAGATGAATCCCGAAACATGTTCCAGTCTGTGCTAGCGAAACAGTCCTGTAGCTCAGCATCTGCTTCATCGGACCACTTCCGTATTGAGCACGTCACATTGGTACTTCCTGATTTAGTTTTTTTGCTTGTAAGCAGGAATCAGGAGGATAGAGTTATGGTCAGATTTGCCAAATGGAGGGTGAGGGAGAGCTTTGTATGCGTCTCTGTGTGTGGAGTAAAGGTGGTCTAGAGTTTTTTTCACCTCTAGATGCACAGGTGACATGCTGGTAGAAATGAGGTAAGACGGATTTCAGTTCTCCTGCATTAAAATCACTGGCCACTAGGAGCCAGTACTATCAAGCTGCTTCTCCTGCCTAACCAACCAGTAATATCAAGCTGCTTCTCCTGCCTAACCAACCAGTAATATCAAGCTGCTTCTCCTGCCTAACCAACCAGTAATATCAAGCTGCTTCTCCTGCCTAACCAACCAGTAATATCAAGCTGCTTCTCCTGCCTAACCAACCAGTAATATCAAGCTGCTTCTCCTGCCTAACCAACCAGTAATATCAAGCTGCTTCTCCTGCCTAACCAACCAGTAATATCAAGCTGCTTCTCCTGCCTAACCAACCAGTAATATCAAGCTGCTTCTCCTGCCTAACCAACCAGTAATATCAAGCTGCTTCTCCTGCCTAACCAACCAGTAATATCAAGCTGCTTCTCCTGCCTAACCAACCAGTAATATCAAGCTGCTTCTCCTGCCTAACCAACCAGTAATATCAAGCTGCTTCTCCTGCCTAACCAACCAGTAATATCAAGCTGCTTCTCCTGCCTAACCAACCAGTAATATCAAGCTGCTTCTCCTGCCTAACCAACCAGTAATATCAAGCTGCTTCTCCTGCCTAACCAACCAGTAATATCAAGCTGCTTCTCCTGCCTAACCAACCAGTAATATCAAGCTGCTTCTCCTGCCTAACCAACCAGTTATATCAAGCTGCTTCTCCTGCCTAACCAACCAGTAATATCAAGCTGCTTCTCCTGCCTAACCAACCAGTACTATCAAGCTGCTTCTCCTGCCTAACCAACCAGTAATATCAAGCTGCTTCTCCTGCCTAACCAACCAGTAATATCAAGCTGCTTCTCCTGCCTAACCAACTAGTAATATCAAGCTGCTTCTCCTGCCTAACCAACCAGTAATATCAAGCTGCTTCTCCTGCCTAACCAACCAGTAATATCAAGCTGCTTCTCCTGCCTAACCAACCTTATCCGTCTGATCCACTTCCACAAGGTTCCATTTCCTTAACCAAAGCCTTAACCCAGGGATTCTGTTAAGGTGTCCTGTTTGAGTGGAAGTGAATGAGATGTTTTGTCACTAACCAGTATAACTGATCAGTGTGTCCTCTCAGTAAAGCGGATGTGCTATCAACTAACAACTGAACCGCAAGGCCACATGTTTCTTGTAGCCGTGCTTTTTTTTTTCAGATCCGCTATTGAGTCAACAAGCAGTTAACCTCAATACTACAGCTCATTGTTACTGTCTACTGAGAAATCGTACTTTACCTCTTATAAGATAAAGATAAAAAGCAAGACATTATATATTACAGAAATAACTGAGATTAAAAACTCTGGTGCTTTTAACTTTCTAACTGCACATAGTATACTATCACAATGCAATTAAAGTTCAGTACAGTACAGTACAGTACAGTATAGTAAATTATATTTAGTATAAATAGTCATGTACAGTTGTCCAATATTGGAGTGTACTATTGTGTCTCTGTAGGAACTTACCTCCCTGCTCATCCAGCATAACCAGAGTCCTGATACCGGCATCTTTACTCTACACACCCCGGGTCGGAGAGACAGGGAAGAACACACCCCGGGTCGGAGAGACAGGGAAGAACACACCCCGGGTCGGAGAGACAGGGAAGAACACACCCCAGGTCG